CGCATGGAGGACAGCCGCCTCCCCAAGCGCATGCTGTTAGGAGCGATGGCGGGGGGCGTGGGATACCGGGGCGGGCAGGAGAGCGACTGGGTGTCTCGTCTAGGAGAGGACCTCGTGGCCTTCAACATGGGAGACGAAAAGGAAAGGGGTAGATGGAAAGAGAGCGCCGAGGACCCGGAGGTGTGGTACAACAAGGTCGAGGACGGGGCGGCATGGTTCATGAGGAAATGGCACAGGCAGGAGGCGGAAGCGTCCACGAAGCGCCAGCGCGCGAGGGAAGCAGAAGCAGAGAGTACGGCCATCTCAGGACCGAAGAGAAAGAGAGCCGGAGAAGCAGCCGTGGGGGGGAAGAAACGGCGACCAGGCACTGCTATAGAAGCGAGCAGGGCGGCCGAGGCAGCACTTGTGGCGAACTCTATGTACCCGGCTGATGTTGTTGCGTCCTGTTTCCTTCCCTGCTGTATGCTATACTCCTTTATGTATGTCCTTTGTATTGCCTTCGGCCTCTGTGCTGTTCATGACCTCCCTGCCTACTCTGCTCTGTTGGGCACCTTGATCTTGCTTTACCCTTGCCTTTGTTCTTGTACGTCTGGCTGTCTGCCCATCTGCCGCCACTTCGTCCTGTTTGCTCCGTTACTCCCATGCCCTGGTGCGCAGTGCTTGGTGCTGGTACGTTACCCTTGAATTTTTTCTTTGGGCGGGTGTGGGAAGCGTCTCCTTAACTTTTGGTTTTGTTATATTTTGATAGGTTTCCGGAGGCTCTTTTCTCGAACGGTCGGTGCGACACCTGTTCTTTTCTTTCTATCATTTTGATTTCGTTTTCCGGGTGGTTTGTACCCTATTTTTGTTTTGTTTCCCCGCGGCGTCGTATGTGCCGAGTTTTGAAACCACAGGCTCCCCATTTTTTGTGGACTACAGATCTAATGTGAGAAACAACAACAATAACTACAATTCGACTACAGCAGCAGCATCACCCCCCCTTGTCCCGCATTTAACCGAAATGAATGTGTGTCGACTACAGCGTACTGCTGTCTGAAGTGCTGTCTGTACAGTAATAACACCATGGGGCAAGGTACACAAGCTCGGGACATGCACCTGCTGTCTGAAGTGCTGTCAGAATGAGTCCGTGGACATACAANAACCACAGGCTCCCCATTTTTTGTGGACTACAGATCTAATGTGAGAAACAACAACAATAACTACAATTCGACTACAGCAGCAGCATCACCCCCCCTTGTCCCGCATTTAACCGAAATGAATGTGTGTCGACTACAGCGTACTGCTGTCTGAAGTGCTGTCTGTACAGTAATAACACCATGGGGCAAGGTACACAAGCTCGGGACATGCACCTGCTGTCTGAAGTGCTGTCAGAATGAGTCCGTGGACATACAATGAAGAAGAACACCCAACCAAAGCCATCATCGCAATTGACAATCACCCGAATCTATCCAGATCATCTGTGTTAGGCACAGCAGTGTAAACATCGACACTGACTAGGAATCATTCCACATTGATTGAAGGGGTCTTCCACGATGCAGGTACACAATTAAGGCACCCGGGTTATCCGCGCCATTACTGCTGCGTCTCTCTATAAAACCAGTGACGTCATCACACACAACCACCACCTATATTCAGGAAAAACACGGACAATAATCGACAACACGAGAGATGTTTGTCCGTGCGCCACGGTTCGATGCCATCCGCATGCTTCGGTTCCGCTGCTCCGGTGCCGCTGCTCCGGTGCCGCTGTGGCCAGTCCTAGCACGACCAAAATCGACCCGCTCCGCTTCGTACACGCTCTCGTTGCTGTCCTTCCCAGTCGGTTCCTCGCTTTCTCCCTCGTTGCACTAGGGGTTCTTGGTCTGAAAAATCTCGCGCCGAAGGTTCAACCAGCCCAATCAGCTCGTCACCACCTGTCCCCTCCTCCTTTGATGGCAAAACCAGGTTACTGAGACAGTACAGCTCCCTCTAGCAAACCTAGGGCCGTGCACGTAGTGCCCGTCCACCTTTCTGATGTCATCTTCCTCCGCGCACAAAGATGAGATGGGCATTGCTGCCTACACCGACGGCCATGGTGCCCGCGCACCTGCACCTTTATACCTGACGCACCAGTGCCGACCCAACTCCACCACTACGCACGCCTCGCGGCGGGTGCGCCGCAGCAAGAAGGTATCGGTCCCTTGAGGGCGAGTCTAGCCCTGCTCNGTAGGGGTTCTTGGTCTGAAAAATCTCGCGCCGAAGGTTCAACCAGCCCAATCAGCTCGTCACCACCTGTCCCCTCCTCCTTTGATGGCAAAACCAGGTTACTGAGACAGTACAGCTCCCTCTAGCAAACCTAGGGCCGTGTACATAGTGCCCGTCCACCTTTCTGATGACGTCTGCCTCCGCGCACAAAGATGAGATGGGCATTGCTGCCTACACCGACGGCCTGGAGGCCCGCGCATCTGCACCTTTGTACCTGACGCACCAGTGCCGACCCAACTCCACCACTACGCACGCCTCGCGGCGGGTGCGCCGCAGCAAGAAGGTATCGGTCCCTTGAGGGCGAGTCTAGCCCTGCTCGCTAGAAACATCCCCAACACCATATTGGTGAATTTGAGAGCGAAGCATGAAATTGAGAGCGAGATTGCGCGATGCGCTGCAGCNTCATCTTCCTCCGCGCACAAAGATGAGATGGGCATTGCTGCCTACACCGACGGCCATGGTGCCCGCGCACCTGCACCTTTATACCTGACGCACCAGTGCCGACCCAACTCCACCACTACGCACGCCTCGCGGCGGGTGCGCCGCAGCAAGAAGGTATCGGTCCCTTGAGGGCGAGTCTAGCCCTGCTCGCTAGAAACATCCCCAACACCATATTGGTGAATTTGAGAGCGAAGCATGAAATTGAGAGCGAGATTGCGCGATGCGCTGCAGCTGGACTACTGCTGAGAGGTGGAGCTTGCTGTGTAGCTTGAATTGAAGGGTCAGCCCGTAGCTATAAGGAGATACCCTGGTCATCCTGTGGGAGTCTCTCGATGTGGAGTTACAGCGGCGAGCAGAAGCTACAGCAGAGCCCACCCCCCGAGGCCACACCGCCCGGCAACAGTTTGAGGCAGGAATAGCCAATCTGGGGAAATCTAGCAACTTGTCTAGCTCCTAGCTGCAGCATCCGATGACGATGACACGCATATGCTCGTGACGCTGCTGATGAGACCTTTAATTTGCGCCGCCTTTCGGAAGAGCCCGCCCCCTACTTCCCAAGAAATGGCAAGAGGCGTCTGGACCCGAATTTTCATCTTTTGGCTCTCGGTCTCAATTTCATGCTTCGCTCTCAATTTCACCAATATGTTGTTCCCCCCCCTCGCTATGGGTCATGCCTACGCAAAACCTTGCCGAGGCAGCGAGGGGAAGAAAGAGAGCGTCTGTGGTGCAGCTGTTCAGCTGTTCTGCTGTTCTCTTCGCTCTTGGCGCGGAAAAAAAAAAGTCCAACCCCCAAAACCCCAAAAACGTTATATGCTGTCTGGGAAACCGTAGACATACAGGTAGTTTGTTTATTTGTTTTTCTCCCATCATCCCATCATTGGCCTCTGTCGTCTGCCCGTCTGGCCCCTATCCTCCACTTCTACCAGCTAGACGACCCAACCNCCCCGAGGCCACACCGCCCGGCAACAGTTTGAGGCAGGAATAGCCAATCTGGGGAAATCTAGCAACTTGTCTAGCTCCTAGCTGCAGCATCCGATGACGATGACACGCATATGCTCGTGACGCTGCTGATGAGACCTTTAATTTGCGCCGCCTTTCGGAAGAGCCCGCCCCCTACTTCCCAAGAAATGGCAAGAGGCGTCTGGACCCGAATTTTCATCTTTTGGCTCTCGGTCTCAATTTCATGCTTCGCTCTCAATTTCACCAATATGTTGTTCCCCCCCCTCGCTATGGGTCATGCCTACGCAAAACCTTGCCGAGGCAGCGAGGGGAAGAAAGAGAGCGTCTGTGGTGCAGCTGTTCAGCTGTTCTGCTGTTCTCTTCGCTCTTGGCGCGGAAAAAAAAAAGTCCAACCCCCAAAACCCCAAAAACGTTATATGCTGTCTGGGAAACCGTAGACATACAGGTAGTTTGTTTATTTGTTTTTCTCCCATCATCCCATCATTGGCCTCTGTCGTCTGCCCGTCTGGCCCCTATCCTCCACTTCTACCAGCTAGACGACCCAACCGGGGTCACATAGGAGGGGGGGGTTGGACCCCCTCCTGCGGTTCCTGTCTGAGATATTTTTATCTCGAGAAGGGTACAGCAATCCCTTCCCTCGAGACTTAAGAAGTCGATCAAGTTTACTAACAACGAGCTTTGCAGCGCATCGCTTCCAACGGAGACCAGGAATCAATTAGCGAGAAAAAAACTCACTCTGTCGGGACTCAAACCCATAACCTGGCCCTTAGCAGGCTGCGAGGTTGTTCGTGTGTCTGGATACGAGCATGGTAGATCTGCTAGCAGCACGGGGGGGTACGTAGACAGGAGCATGCGTATGCCTGAAAAAGGCTACTATGTGTGGGCCCCCTTCCCCGAATTCGGGAGGGCCCCCTTCTTCCCTTCCTTTCCTCGCTCCCGCGGGTGCCTAATCAGAGAGAGTTAAAGCGTGTCTTCTCCTCCCAAGTACGGACATACCAACACACTAGTGTTTATTCCCTCGAGGGAGTCCATTAGGGATGGCGGGCCGCAGAACCGGAGGGACCACTCCGGGCGGCTCGCAGGCGGGAGACACAAATTGCAGCGAGCAGATCGACAGCATGCGGTCTGAGATCAGTTCGCTGACACAGCAA